ATCAACCTGTTTTTTTTCTCATTTGACAATTAAAATATTGGGCATATTTTTTGGTCATTGTGAATGACTTATCTTTTACCCCTTGAATGCATAGCATTTTATTATAAGGATTTAGGCAATTTGATTTACTTCTAGTTTCAACCAGTCAGGAAATAAATGACTGACTCCTTCAGAATGGGATAACATGGTGGGAATTTTTCTGGCTGCTTATGACTTTGGACTTGTTTTGATTCTGAGGTTATTATGATTTAACTGGCCACATCATTTCTTTTTTTTTCCCCTTTTTTCTCTGATCAGTAAGAATGAGCTCATTTTCCTGCTAAAATGTAACAGCAGACTTTTATAGTCTAATGCAATATAATACCATGCTTAAAACTCTTGGATTTTCCCTCATTTTTAAAGCATTTCTTCTCTTCATAACTAGACCCATGAAATAGATGATCATTTAATGAGCATATTGCATCAACTTGTGGGTGTGGGTCTGTTTGTAGTAAGCTGTGGTTTATGCGAATTTTGAAGCCATGAACAAAAGACAAATATTTGTGCTTAGGGGAGAAGAAGGAGTTTTGTGGTGGGCGGTAATGGAAAGCTTTAAGAAAATTGAAATGCTTGGTTCCCTGGTAGTCATGTGGCTCGCTCCCTGATTTCATTCACATCCCTGCGCAAATGTCACCACTTCAGGGAGGCCCTCCCAGGCAGCCTCTCCACTGTCACTGTCCTTTTGCCTGGCTTAGACTTCTGTCTCTTTATTTGCTGACTTATTTATTTGCTTGTTCATTATCTGATTGGTGAGAAGCAGGGAGAGCAGAGACTGGTCTGTTTTGGATACCCAGTCCCTAGGACGGTGCCTGGCACAGAGTAGGTGTTCATTGAAAGCAAGAGATTATAGTGTAGAGCAAGGGTTGGCAAACTTTTTCTTTGACGGGCCGGATAGTATTTTAGGCTAGGTGGGATATGTAGTTCTGTTGTGTCTACTGAGTTGTGCCATTGTAGCACAGAAGCAGCCATAGACATAAACAAATGGGTGCCGCTGTGTTCCTGTAAAACTTTATTTACAAAGATAGGTGCTAGGCCCTAGTAAGCCCACCCCAGGTTTGGAGGTTAAGAGAGCAGATTCTGGAGTCAGACAGCTGGGCTTCAGTCCTGACTTAGCTCTGAGACCCAGAGCCGGTTATGCATCCTCTCTCTACCTCCATTACCTTGTTGGTAAAATGGGAGTAAAATTAGCGCCTGCCTCGGAGAGGTAGAGTGTGGTGGCTGCCTAGAGCAGTGTCTGGCATGAATCACTCACTATGTAAATATCAGAGCTTTCCATTTCATCACGTTGTTGTTGATTAAAATGTGTGTGTGTAGTATCTTTGTAGATTTAATGTTCTGTTCATTTAACAGTACAAACTATATTTTCATGAGATTCATACAAGAAGGGATATTTTTCTGATCAAAATTATACTCCAGTTTTTTAAAATTTTTTATTATGCTTAAAGCTGTCATACAGTCTTGCAGTGTCACTCAATTTATAAGGGGATACAAGACACTGAGGACCCTAGAAACTTGGACTTGGGGGGGCAGGAGGGGGGCATGGGCAACATACGTAACCTAAACATCTGTACCCCCATAATATGCTGAAATAAAAAAAAATTATACTCCAGTTTTTAAAAATTTTTTATTATGCTTAAAGCTGTCATACAGTCTTGCAGTGTCACTCAATTTATAAGGGGATACAAGACACTGAGGACCCTAGAAACCATCAGTATGGTGTACACATGAGGCAGATTCTGAGGTTTTTCTGGATGTTATGACTTCCTAGTTCAAGCAGACAGAAAAAGGCTTCGTGGCAGCTACAGCCTAGCATCCTAGCGTGGTGGCTCCTTTATGGAAGGTTTACTGTCTGCAAGTTTTCCAATTTCCTACTTTTATCATCTTCTCATATTTTTGAAGACTGTGTACCCCTTTTGGGGTAAGTTTTGAGTATTTTCCCTACAGTAGATTTTTTTCCCCATCCAGCTTCTTTTCACCTGCTTAGTGAAGGTGCAGGAATTTGAAATAAGCTGGAAACAGAGAAGGCAGGCAGAAGACCTGTGCAAAGACCTTGCACTGTCTTGTAAAATTTTAGAAATAATTTGATGGCACTCTGGGCCATGCGACAATTCACGAGCACTTCATTTTTTCAAGAGAAAAATGCCTTATCTGTATTTTTTATACTTAACATGCCCCTACATATTAACATAATGCTTTTTCATACGTGGTTGAAGGAAAGAGATCAGTGAAATCTCAAAATGGAATTTGGGGTGTGGATTTCTTCCTGCTGACGTTGCCCTTTTTTGCATAGCCTCGACTTCGAGGCAGACTGGTAGGTGGCTGGGGTGGTAGAGAGAATGGTTTTTTCCCTCTTCTTTAGAAATCAAATTGCACTCAAGGGAGGGAAAAAGGAAAGAAGAGATGGGAGCAGGATAATTAGACTTTTTCAGCCACTCAGTAGAGGACTGAAAGGAAAGCCCTTTGGTGGAGAGCTGGAGTCCCACAGGCTGTGAAAAGTCCCACTTTACGCCGTGGGTGAGATTCAGCCACCGTCACGTCACAGCTGCGAATGTTATGTCACAGTTCTGCCGACGTTCCCTGCTGACCTCTCCCCCTCATCTCTTTCTCTAACAGGGGAGGAAACCTGACACTCTTGCACTTCTTGTTGGGTTTGAAAACTGCCGCAGACGATGAGCTGGTGGCTGAGCTGGTGGTGAACATCCTTAAAGTGTGCCCAGACTTACTGAACAAGTATTTTAAGGAAGTAACGTTTTCTTTTCTCCCACGAGAGAAGTCCACTTGGTTAAATAACATCAAACTTCTAAACAAGGTAAAATCATGATATTTAGAACTTTGTTAGCTATGTAGGGGGCAGAGCTTAAGGAGTTGGGGGCCTGGCAGGCATTCCGATCTGATAAGCTGTCCAATTGAAGACCTTTCAGGGATAAAAGGGGGATATTTTAGACAATGTAAACTTGGTGTCCTTATCCTCTCTAGCATTTTGCTTTTCACTGAGCTGAATTTTGAGGTTTATCCCTTTGAATCTGTTGAGCCAATTTATCTTGTTCACTGAGATTTTGCTTAGAGCAAAAGTCTCAGCACAGGCTGGAATTAGTAAAATGTCTGAATTGTCGAATAGTTTTTAAAGATTGTTTGACGTACTTAGAACAACTTGAAATAAGCTGTGAAATGTTGGCCTGTTTGTTTAAGTGGAGGTGCGTTAACTTCCCTTTGATCGCAGAGGTCAGCGTCCCCCCATCTACTCACAGAGGCGTTACTGTCAGTTCTTTGGCAGTAATGCCTGGCTCGGTAAGCTTTCTCTCTCTGATTTATGGCCTGCCTAGCGCTAAAATACCTGGGATTGTTTTCTCGGGCTTCAACCTGGGCCTGGCCATGGAGGAAATTTACCCATTGCCATGGTACGACTGTGTTTACTCATCACCCTTAAACAAGCTTTTATTCTTGTGTTCTCTAAATTCTCCTTGAGTGCCTAGTGTGCAGTCCCATGTGTATGTTGGGACAAGAAAGTCTGCATTTGCCCCTCATTGTGGTGCAGCCCTGTGGCCAGTACCCCCACGGGCAGCTGCTTCTCCCCCGGTGCAGGGGAAGGGCGAGCGTGTCCTTTGCAGGCTGGGTTTGAACCGTTGGTTGGTTGCCTACTAGCTGTATGGCCCTCGGGAAATTACTTCTCTTCACTGAGGTCCAGTTTTGCCCTCTGTAAACACATCTGATTTTTAATGTAAAGTGTTCCTACCCCAGAGAGTTGTCAGGAAGCTTTAAAAAGGTGGCATGATTTGTCAGGTGTCCATCACTTGCGGCAGTAGCTGATAAATGATGCCGTTGGCAGTTCTAGCTGTGGTTTAGTTGCCATCAGAGGTTTTATGAGACTGCCCATACCCCAGGCCAAGCTCTGCTTTGAAGGTCACTTCTTTGCTAATGGCCAGTCTTGTGACCTGACTTATCTTTAACAAGTGGATTTGGGGTTAATCTTCCGAACCCTGTCCCTTGTGGTGTGTCTTGGACCCTTATCACTTTAATTATTTGATTGGAATGGCTTCACTGTTGGGTGCCTAAAATTAGCCTCAGGTTTGAAACTTATTTCCAGCACCAACTGAATCTCTTTTCCCCTTTTCCTAGATCTATGAGGCCCAGCCGGAGATTTCCCGGGCATTTCAGACCAGAGAGTTTATCCCCTTGCCTCGGCTCCTGGCAATGGTGATGGTGACCACTGTGCCCCTGGTGTGCAATAAGATCATGTTCACCCAAGCATTAAATGTAAGGCCATGTGGTTGCCCGGCTTCTAGAACTTTCTCCTGCTAAACCGACTGGCTGTGCTGTGTGATTGTTCTGTGAATGCCAGCCTGGACATGTTTGGTGATGTGTTGTTAGTGAGCCTCTGAGGCTTCCAGGACAGAGCTTTAGTTTGAAACAGCCCGTGAGTGGCAGGTCCACTCTGCTGGGGCAAGGACCCTGGAGCATTCCTTCCGGAGGGCGACTAACTTCACACAGCGGGGACTGACTTCACACAGCTCCATCACACAGCAGGGACCCCTGGGTCCGTCTAGGCCTCTCTAGTCCTGTCTGGGGGACCCCTGGGTCCGTCTAGGCCTCTCTAGTCCTGTCTGAGGGTAGGAGAATGTCAGAATCAGAGGAAGAAAAGTTCATTTATTAAAATCTTACTAGCTGACAGTTTGGGCTGGATAATCTTACTAGCTTAGAATTTCTGAACAGAGTAGGACTGAAATTTACCTAGCAGATCCTTTCCTTTGTGGTTTAAACGAATGGTGTTAAGATGTCTAGGCAGCATTTACTTTGAGGAGCAGCTGTTTTTAGTCATTTTTGGAGAACGTGTTCATGGAAAAAAATTGATACTTACATTTCGCATCATCATTTATTATAAAGGTCCCCAAGTCCCTTCGGAAGCTACATTGTTAGAGGCAAATGTTTCTCTCCCCACAGCATCATGGGCTTAGGTGAGTGGCTGTGAGTTGCTGGGTCCTGGGCCCTACCAGCCCTTCCTAAGCCCAGGTGGGTGTTAGGCCAGGTTTTCAGAGGGGCGTCTCCATCCTTCTGGGCAGGCTGGGTTGTCGTGTGACATCTGTGGGAATAGGGTTGGCTGTGATGGGTCACACAGGCACGAGTCGGCCCCAGCGGTAATGGGTACAGTCACTGTAAAGTGGTGTAGACTCTTGAGACTGTGCAGTAGGATGAACCATTTTTTGATACCCATCCAGGATTTATACTGAGTGTGGGCGGCAGGATAAGGAGTAGAGAGAAGGAGGTCTGTGTGGGACTAGGCAGAAAGGTCTTGAGTTCAGTTTGCCAAATCATCATAAGCAAAATTAGCTTGCCCAGTTAGCTTGCCCAACTATTTTAATTAATGTGGGAGACGGTATTTCCCAGGGAGCTTATAGGAGAATCAAGTTGAAAGGATTATGTCAGAGGTACCTCCTTTATGGGCTCCATTTGTGCTCCCCTCCAAGTGCTCCTGGCAGTCCGAGAGATAAAGGCCATCCCCTCTCCTCTCACTGTTGTTCCAGAATGGAGGGGTTGTGCCTCTAAAAGGGTGTTTTCATCCCCTGGGTGGAGTGGTTGCAAGGAGCGAGAGAGGACACAGCTTCCCCTCCTCCTGTTGGCTACTGTGTCCTGTGTGGGGCCAGAGCTGCCAAGCCACAGCCTGGCCTTCCCTCCTCCGTGCCTTTCTGGGAGCCAAGACCATGTTTTCATGCATGTCAGAGAAGAGGCCATCTAGGGGCTGAGCTTGTGATTTTTTTATCTTTTATTCCTTAATGGTATTATCTTTAAAACTTTTAATTGCATGCATTTTAGAATCAGAAAGAAAAGCTTTAGCTTATTTTAGAAACAGAAAACAAGAAGGTCTTTGGAAGCAGGGTCCCAGGCTGGTTGAGCTTTGTGCTCTACGCCCTTTGGATGTCATGTGAACACTTGTTTGGGGCCTGCCTTTGGAGTGATTATGGGGGAGCCATTATTGGCTTAGGAGAGATCATATGTCCTGCTTTCGTGTACGATGTGCACACAAAGTGGAACCACAGCTAATTGGAATGCTGGGGCTCTGGAGTGTTGTGGGTATTGAGCTAAAAGTAAATCAGAAAGCTGTTTGTTTCTGCCTCACTGTCAATCTGCGGTATCTCAGCCAGGGCTTCCCAGACTTTAATGTACATGGGATCGCCTGGGTTTTGAAGATGTAGATTCTGCTTGAGTTGTCTGGGCCAGGACCTGGGATTCTGCCTTTCTACCAAGTGCAAAAGATGCCTTCACTGTTGCTGGCCCAGGAACACACTATGACTAGACAGGGCCTGGACTCTTTCCTCTTTTTGGTGATAGCACAGGTTCTTAAACCTGACTTAGTCCCTGCAGTGAGTGACCCTCCTGGCTGTCATTCTGAATAGAAGCAGAGAACTCCAGGTGTCAGAGGCGTGTGATGTGGGTTGCTTGCTCACTGAGCCTGGAGGTGGTTTTTCGTGCTAAGTACCTGGAGCATTGTCTTGCCATTCCTCCACCTGATGTTGATATTTTGATAGTGGGGGAGTGGGCTCTGGTGAGATCTTGCTGCTGTTAGCTGAGCAGTTGTCAGAGAAGGCTTACCTAAAAGCAGACAATAAAAACAAAACCACTGTCTGACTCTACCTTTAGTGGCTGGTTTCCCAGCAACTGCTGAGGTCAGACCCAGAGGATGTTAGGAGGGCAAGGTCCCCAGGTCACCTCTTGTAGAGACTGTCCATCTCCTGTGGCTTTCCCGAGGAGTGACCCAAGGAGAGACAAGAGCTAGCCAAGCCCAGGGCTTGGGAAGTCTGTGTCTACCGGCATATCCTAGACACATTTGTGGATTTAACTCTTTTTCTTCCCAGCTGGACAGCAAATCAGTGAAGCACACAGCTTTGTCCCTTATTTCTGTCATTTTGAAGAGAGCATTAAAAACAGTTGACTACTGCCTGAATAAAGACGTGTGGCAAGAATCAGGCGTGTACACGGCTGTGATGATGGAAGAATTTGTGCAGCTGTTGAGAGAAGCCTTGAGCAAGGTAGGCATCAAGTCCAGGTTTGGGCTCTTCCTACAGACCTCACTTGTAAGCACACCAGGTAGAAAAGGCCACATTGGGAGCTGCGGGGTGGGACAGGAGAGCGGGCAGCATCGCGTAGGTGCCAAGGGTCAGCTGAGAAAGCCTACTACTTGGGATCACAGGCAGTATGACACACTTAGAGCGTAGTCTGAAAGTGCTTGTGCAGCCTGAGAATTCAGATGACGCATGTGTTCCCCCACAGAAACAGGACAGAGGGTTCTGCTTCTGGCAGGGACCTTGGGTCTCATCAGGGTCTGTGGTTGTGGCCTCTGCCCTCACCTGCCACCGTGCACACTGGCTGCACTGCAGCCCCTGTGAGAGGGGTGCAGTGGCAGATTCTGGGAATAAGGAGGGCTGGTCTTCTGCAGGCTGGCCTGCTACTCTGAGAGCCCTGGTCATGCGGGCCAGGTTCTCCAAGCGTGTCCTGAGAAGCCGTTCTTTTGTTCACAGTATCTTTTGCTCAGATGAATGAGTTTTAAGGGGTTTGTTTTAATTATCAGCACTTGCTTGTCCACCAAATCCTTAGGGTGTGCAGTTCTAGAAATTGTACTGCAGAGCAGAGCTTACAAAGGAGGGGGCCCCTTCTCACCCCACGCTCCCATCTGCTTCTTACACGGAGTCACACTCACATACGCGCATGTAGACTTGCACCCTCCCTTTTGCTTCTTGTTAATAGGTGCAGTTCATTTGTTTTCCTTCATTCTTGAATGTGACTGATTCTTTTTGTGTCTTTTTCTCTTTTAGATTTTGCCAGACCTGAACACTATCGTGTGGGTGTGGCAGTCACTCAAAAAGCAAGAGACCAAACAGGATGATGAGAAGGGGAAGAAAAGGGGTGACAAGCCCCTGGCTGCCCATGTGGCTCCCCAGTGCGGTGAGGCCTGGGGGGCCTCTGCTGTTTGCCTGACACAGAGCTGACACTGGCACCTGGCCAGCTCCTAGCTGGAGGGTCCTGGAGCAGTTCTCGTTTTAGGGCACCTCTGGCTATGAACGTATCTGTCCTTTTATGATCAGGGAGGAAAATTAGAATGGGATTGTAGATTGAAATTCAGTATCTGTTAGAAATGGATATCTAAGCATTGTGTCTCTTTAAAGACTTGAACATTGGGTGCCATATGTGCGGGACTTTCGGTGGGCAGGGGGCTCTCTTGCTCTGTAGATAGAGGTGAGCTACGTCCTCCCCCCTTGTAATAAAATGTGTTGACTAAGACCTTGTTGACCAGTGGGCTTTGCATCTTAACGTTTATGTAGGTAGGCCCTGCTGTGTGTCCCTATTACTCAGATGGCGACACCTGTCCAAGGTCACAGCAGTGAAATGGTTTAAGCCTAGGCCCTTTGAACAGTCTTAACCTTTTTTAAGGCTTTGACTCCTTAGATCCAGCTACAGGGTGGTCTCTCTACAGCACTGGGCTTTAGCGTGCAGTTGGCTGTGATGTGGTGTCACAACTGGCCCGGCTGCTCACCTATTGATGATTGAGGACAGCAGTAGGTCCTTGAATTCAAGCTGGGTCTTTTGTTTTGTTTTGTTTTTTGGTGTAGATGATGCAGAAACCATTCTTTTGAAAGCCGTTCTGCTCCAGGTCATATGTCTCTACCAGAAGGTGGTCCCGCACGTGGTCATGCAGTACAACTTTGACTTCAGCAAGCTCCTGAAAGGTGGGTCTCGAAGGATTGCAGACAGGCCGCCACTGTTTCTGCCAATGCGGAAGGAAGTGCTGATAAACCAGAGCACAGTCCTCGGAGCTGAGGCTCAGGAAGGCTGGTGGCACTTCGCTGGTGTGTGTGATCCACCAGCCTGGTTAATTTTCTTGGGACCAACATTTTTTAAACAGCCAGTCTTCTTTAAGGAAGTATCAGATGAACACTGAGTAGTAGTGAGAATGGAGAAGCAGCCAGCCAGCTTCTGCGTAAATGACCTACAAATCAGGTCATGTGAAGTTAACTCTAAAGTCACTTTTCAAGGGAGCAGGGGTACAGGGTGTGTAGCAGAAATGAGAGCCCTGCCAAAGGGACATCCTATTCATGCAGATGCTTTTTACGTAATTACTTTCTGGATTTACCCCAGTGAGGCAGACTCAGACTTGTAAAAGTAACATTGTGCGTGTCTGGTCATGTTTCCTTGGTGGTAAAATTTGTCTAATAAAATCGACTTTATAATTGGGCCTACAGAAGAAGACTTGCAAAAATACCATTCTTGGAATTTACATTATATAAGCTATTGAAATAATCCTTTCCAAAAGCTATAATTAACACTTGAATCGTTTGAAGGTGGAAGGTTCTCTTTGCTGTGGGAATATGAAATCTACTAGAATGTGGCCACTTAACATTTAGTAGCCGTGTACTTCCCAAGCGACGGAGAAACCCAGAGACCAGGCTGGAGGATGAGGACCCAGTCAAGCTCGGGTGGCTGCAGTCTCTGTCCACAAAATGCTACTGTCAGGGAGCAAGGCCTGTGCCACGCACGAGGGTAGCATTAGTGATAGCCACGGTGGAGGGCAGCATGGTGGGTGCAGCGATTCCAGCTGTGTGGGGTTGGCATGGGCTGAGTGGCAGGGAAGGGCTTTTTTGGGCAAGTGAGATTTGGGCTTTTTGCCGAAGGATTTTGGATAGACCTCCAGGGCAAGGGGAACAGGTCAAGAGAGGTATGCCTGGGCACGGCCCATGTGAGAGTGAGCTCAGGATACAGGGAGCAGGACCCCACATCCTTCCTTTTTCTTTCTGGGCGTGGAGTTCCTTATTTGGTCCTTCTGGCCAGGGCCCCAGTTGCTGGCACTCGCCTCCGCGTGATTGTTTCTCAGTTTCCCTCTTTTCCACCTGTAGGCGTCATCTCCGAGCAGAGCCTTCGAGAGGAGGTGCCGCCCATTCTGCAGCACCACATGCTAAAGGTGGCCCTGGAACTGCCCGCCAGCAAGTTTTTGTGGTTAAAGGCACAGGTAGGAAGCAGAGATTTCCAGTCTTCTGCCGTTAGCTGACGTGCTGGGCCTGTGGCCTGATGAATTTCTAACTGGATCAGAACTGGGCAGAGTTGGGGGCACAATGGACAAAGTTAATGGTTCTCATTTTAGAACGATGCAGAGCAGAGGCCAGGCCCTGATATGTGAACCAGGAGGCCTGGGAGCCTGTTTGCTTTTGTAGAATATGATGTTTACCTTGCCCTTACTGCAAATATATCTTATTATTGGGTGTAGGGAGTTTTTTAGCTTGACTGTTTTACATTTTCCTCATCATTTTAAAACCTTTTTGGAATGAAGATAAAATATATTCCTTCCCCTTTGTCCTTCTTCTGGAAGAACTGAAGAGAGAGGTGGAATAGATACCAAGTCAGGAGAGGGTTGAGGCTGGAGGAAGAATCAGAAAACATTGCTAGCATTTTTTCCAGTGTCTGTAATAATGTCTTTTAGGACTTTTCAGAGAACATAATGTTGAATCATAAAGGGAAGCTTAGGATGCAACAGTTACTTACCTGTGTGTTTAAGCCCAGGATGCTGTAGCACTTCTATGCAAAGAGGGGGGAAATGATCAAGCAAAATTAAGCATTGTCTAAGCGTTTCTCATAATCTGAGCTGATTTATTTTTTTAATGACTTAGATCTTATAAGGAACCAATAGTATGGAAATAAAGTGTTGGCATTTTTACATGTTACATTTCCAGAAATGTTTGAGAATGCCGTGGCTCTGGGATCTGTGTTTTTTTCCCCTAAGCCTTCTTCCTAAGGCGCCACTGCGTTGTAGCTGAGGTAATTCTTACTGAGGACTTAGTAGTATCTAGGTGGGACGCTAATGCTTTATGTGGCCACTCGGCTCACACCACTGAGAGACAAGGCAGCTGAGCACAGAGTGTTAGGAACCTTCTGCAAGGTCCCGACCGGAGTCGTGGGTCCAGGATGAGACCTCGGCAGTGCCACCCAGAGCCCAGCTCGCAACCCTCACACCAGGCTGTGAAGTCACTGTCACCGACCTCAGAGAGGTGACAGGCTAGGCGTGTTGTGGATTGGTTTTCACTCCAGCTGAACTGGGCCAGTGGGATCTTGATGATGTAGTTGGAAAGTGAACAGAGGCCTCTTAATTTGAAAGAACTGGTATTAAGATACTAATTTATATCCTTTGCCCCACCTTATGCTAATAAAATAAATCTGCTGGCTCGGCCTAAGTTAACTCCAGCACTTTACTAGGTTCAGGGTCATCCTCATTGCCAAAGGGCTACAGAGAAGCACAGACTTGATGGAGTTTGGGTCAGGGATCTGGAGCTCCATGTGCTTCTCTGAGACGAGTGTTCTAAGCCTAAAGGCCTTTTTAGGAGGATAAATTACATATAAGTAATCAATTATGTTAGCACAGGCATCCTGATGAAATGCAACAAGGACATCCTCTGACAGAGTCAAACAGCCCCAGGGTCCCTCCTTCCCCAGCACCCACCAGGCAGCACAGCGGCCGTGCCAGGGCTCGGTTCCCAGTAAATAGCTAGTTACCTTCTCAGTGTCTCAGTTTTCACATATGTAAAATAGGGTAACAGCTGCACCCACCTTAAGGGTCGTTGAGAGGATTAAGTGAGTCAGTTTATGTGAGGACCCTAGAACAGTCCAGCACAGGAAGAGGGCTGCCTGTGCGTGCTGGTACTACTCTGTTGTTACTACAACCGCTATTTGGGGATTTTGGAAGAGTTTTACGTGACTTCTGAGGTTCCTTATATGTGAAGTCACGGTAGTCTTGGCGAGTTGTAGTTACAATGAGATGAAGTAAAGGACCTGGCAGCACACTGGGTGTGTAGTCACCTGTTTGCTCAGCAAGTGATGGCCTTTGTTATTTGTAAAACATGTTATATAATTATATGTTATTCGTATAACATGTTATAACAAGTATATGTATTAAAAAATATATCAATAATAGTGTTCCAACTCTAGGAAGGCCCAGATGCAGAAATTATTGGAGGCGAGCGGTCAGTGTTTTACTTACTGATGAAAATGTTTGTGACCAGTAGTCATTCACAGCTGAAGTCATCAACCAAACTTCTGATCATGAAGGTGAGCGTTTTGTACCAGCCTCTAATTCTGAAAAGCATTTTGCATAGGCCTCCTTTATAGAAGGTGCGTAGTAAACAGTTGTTGAATAGAAGAGGTAACAGGACTGTTGTAAATTTTAAAATAGGAGGTTTTATGGCAGTTTTAATTCACTATGTCTTAAACTTAGCTGCATTCCTGAGAGGCAGTGTGGTGAATTGGAAAAAACATGGGCTTTGAAGTCTGATTCCTAGATTTGAATCCTGGTTCTGCTGTTTCCTGGGTGCGTTGGGCAAATTACCTAACCTCTCTGAACTTAGTTCTCCCATGGTGAGTGGGGATAATAAAACCTTACGGTTGCAGTGAAGATTAAATGTAATAAAGCAGTAGATCATTGCTAACACGTTGTAGGTTCAATCAGTACTAGATTTTGTTCTCCTGGGGAGCTAACAGGCAGCGCCTCTTTCCTCATTCCCAGGCTCTGGCCTTCCGCTTTTTCGCCCTCATCCATCACCCACAGCACAGGGGGATCAGGGTCAGGGTCAGTGGAAAGGAATGAAGAATTTGTTTACTTCTTTTCCTTCTTTTACTGATTCTTGTTTTTCCAGGGCTACATCAGCTCTTGCTGTGGCAGTAGGAAATCTAGTTCCTTGTTTCTGTGCAACAAACATCTTCGGGGGGAGGGGTGCTACAAAAATCACATTCACTGTTTTTAGAGTACAAGGATTTGACCTTTCACCTTTACCTGAAGTGCTCATACTCTTGCTGCACTTTAACCCTCTCACCTGAACTGCTTGAAGAATAAGGCCATCAAGTCTTGACCTTCACAGGTTGCCATTCCCTTACAGGTGGTGCAGGTGCGAACCTGACCCCAGCCAGATTTCGTGGTCACTAACTGTAGATAGGTGGGATGGGCACAATCAGGTTTTACTTCGGTGTACGATGTTGCAGGGCTCTGTGCCATGAGGCGCCCTAGACCCTGAGTCTCCCTCTTCAGGCCATTTGGGGATGTCATTTAATCATTTCTGTAGATTCAAGTCCTGCCTCCTACCAAATTCTGTTCTGCTGGAAACCGTGGGTGCTTCTTGCCCAGGTCTCAGTCTTGAGGTGCCACACTGCAGTGACAGCGTGGAACTGGCTCGTGACCTTGGAGAAAGTCATCACGTTTACCTGGGTCTTTGTGAAAATCCAGATAGAAAACCAGCCTCCTAAGTAGCAGCCTAGTCTTTTCCCTTCTTCTTATTTAGGAAATTATTTAGGAAAGGCAGCAGCAAGACAGGCGGTTGTGTTTTCTTTGATCGAGTGTGAAATGATCGCGCTTCCTATTTCCCTCTACAGGGGGATGTTTTTTGAAAGACTCGCTTTTGGGGTAAAACTTGAGATGAAACTTTCACCCCCTTGGTGCTCCCTGGGTCTCTGTGGGGTGCTGGAGCAATGAAATGCTTCAGTTCCCACGGAAAGCAGGGTCCGTTGTGACTTTTCCACCGATACCTGCTTCCTGGCAGATTCTTCGGGACACAGGGGTGTTTGAGCACACCTGGAAGGAGCTGGAGCTGTGGCTGGAGCACTTAGACGGCACCGTGGAAGAGAACAAAGAGACTGTGATTCAGTTTCTGGAACGTGTAAGCACATACTTCCCCTGGAAGGGACCATGTTCAGAGATAATTGTATTAGGTTCTTGGTGTAATCGAGGCATTTTTGACGTACTGATGCCAAAAGGCTTTTCGTCCTGGCTTACTTCCTGCCTCTCACTGAGACTGCAGAATTTGTGAAGCACGAATGTATCACAGCGTGCTGTTTAATTTCCTTTTGGGAATTTGTTTTTGCATAAGGAAATAGGAGTAGATTAAAAGCGATATTAAAAGCAGTGGTATATTAAAAGGAGATACTTTTTTAAATCCCACAACAAAAAATTGAAAAGAAAAACCACTTTGCAGTAAAATTGTTCCAATTAAGAACTGAACATTTTAGCGCTTCCCTTTATTTTGACCAGTGGCATGTTTTGGCTTTTTTTTCCCCTCTTCATTTCACTTGTGACCATCTAAATGCTTTCTGCTTGGCTCTTTGATGCCCAGATTTTATTGACATTGGTGGCGAATCCCTATTCATACACAGACAAAGCATCCGACTATGTCCAAGAAGCAAGCACCCTGCAGGCCACTGCGATGAAGCAAGATGCTGATGACGTCAGCATTCCCATCTCCCACATCGATGGTACGTGCCGCTCTTCTGCACTGCCGGGACGTCTGAAGGTGGAGCCACAATGGCTTGTTAGAGACAGAAGAGAAAAATTGCACTAATGCCTCAGGCAAAGTGCAGATGTCCCATTTCTTTGCGTCAAAGATCAGCCTATTCTGGAAATGAAATCCCCTTATTTTTTCCCGGAATGGGGTGTAGAACTTACTTGCTGTGTTGTTTTTCTTTGTGCAGTGTTTACTGTGTGCCAGGCACTGTTCTAAGGTCTTTATAAATCATAACTTATGTAAACCTTATAAACAAGCCTAAGAGAGGAGAGTGTTATGATTGTCCTCATTTTATGTATAGATAAGGCAGCTGAGGGACAGAGAGGTTTAGGCACTTGCTCAAGCTCACACAGCTGCTATGTAGCAAAGTCAAGATTTGAACCTGGACATAGACACTCTGGCTCTGGTTTATGCTGTGACCTTCACACTTTTTGCCTCTCAGATTTTGGCTTATTTGCCTGAATATCCAGGTTAAAGTTACTGGGCTTCTTGTGTCACTTGAGGAAACTTCAACTGACTGTCCTGCGTTTTGTCAGACAAAGATCTTAAAGACCTTACAGGCAATGTCTTCATCTGTTTAGGATCAAACTGTATTAAACATTTCTCCCCTAGAGAAATTTAGCATTTTTTTTCCTCCTCTTTTTGCAAATGTGCTCTTGCTTCTCCCTCGCGGTGGGATCCTTTGGTGACCCTTGCCTCAGCTGCCGCCTCTCTTTCCGGCTCAGATGTGCTCGACATGGTGGACGTCCTCGTGGAGGGCAGCGAAGGCTTGGATGAGGAAATTGGGTTTTTGTTAAATGAAGACATGATCCTGCTCACGTTCCCATTCAGTGCTGTGGTCCCTGCGGCCCTGGAAGCCAGGAATAAATTGCTCCTTGGGACAGAAAATGAAGCAGGTACTGGGAATAGTCAGGATGTTTTGACTGCATCAGGCTGGCTGGGTCTATGTGGGGTGGGAGGTGGGATTCAAAGGGGTCTCAAGTCAGTTGCTGGGCAGCAAAAGTTCAGACCCACCAAAGTGCAACTACCCAACCAGCTACCCAGCCAGTGGAGCTAAAAATGCAGGGGTATGGATCTTGAGACTGCCTAGGCTGTTGGGAAATTGGCCATTTGAGGGATGAGTCTGAAATAATGTGTTTGCTTGGCTGCGTAGACACCAGCTATCACACTGATGTTTTCTCATCATTTATTCTAGATATCTTCATGCTAACGACGAATCCTTCATACTTACACAAATAAGTAGACATATAGATAAGCTCCAACATGTCGGTGGTTTAATGAGTAAAGGTCTATTTCTTGACCTTGTTGTGGTCTAATATAAACCCAGGTGGCCCTTCTGGGCGGCTCTCCTCCAGGTGGTAGCTCAGGGATCCAGGCTGCTCCCATTTGGTAGCTATGCCATCTCAGTGTGTGGCTCTCTGTCCACAGAGAGAGTGGACAGTCAAGCAGGGGGTGTCATGGCATGGAATTGACTAAACCAGGCATGTGATCCCAATCCACCTGCAAGAGAGGCTTTTGTGCCACAGCAGGAGAAGTGGATTGATGAGTACCTAGCAGTCCTGGTCCTAAGTGGCTTTTGCCTTGCTGCTTACATGCCTGGGTCTCCACTTGGGGGCCTTGGGACCTGAAGGCCCAGGACCTGAGGCCTCTTTCCATGTGCTGTATATTTAATAACCTGGAACCTAGTACAGTCTGCAGCATTAGCACCTACCTTCCCGTGTGGTTGTGTGACCCCTTGTGGAGTTGGCATGAATTTTTCTGGATCTTGTATGTATTTGGGAGGAGATAGTGTTGGTGGATTACAAACGGCAGAGCCAGTAGGCCTCTTCTCATTCCTTTGCAGTGGAAAGCGTCGTGGCGTATCTGACAGCGGTGCTGACCGACCTCCTCCACACTCAGAGGGACCCCCTCGCTCTGTGTCTTCTGCTCCAGGCTTATGACAAGTTTGAGTCTCCCAGCCCACCTTGCTGCCATCAGCTCTCCCAGTTTAACAGATACTACAGCCTCTGGATCCCGGAGCAAGCCCTAGAGGCCTGGGTGAGCTGCGGTCGAGCCTGTGGTCACGGCTCCTGGGCGGGGTTTCTTCCTGGTGGCTGTACCGCAGCTGTGCAGCGGGGTAGCCGGACAGCCTGCAGGGTGAAATTTCTTAACCTTCTAATTTCCCCTGCGTGAGAGAGGAATCTCAGTGGTGTTACTGCTACTCAGCTAATGTAACTGAAACACAAAGGGCTCAGTGATGCAGCCAAATTAAATTTTCCACTGGCTTTGTAATAATGATGATGGGCTAATCGCTGTTTCAGCTTGGGCAGGAGGTTGCCTCTTTCTTTTGTTCCTTACTAAGTGATCCGCACACACTTGTCTCACAGCTCCCTTCTTAGGACGTAGCCTGCCCCTGGACCTCCCATGCTCAGCTGTCAGACCTCGCCCCTCAGGGGCCCCCGCAGGCTCCATTCTGCTAAAACTGGGAAAGGAAAGGGGAAAAAAGCTTCCTTTTGGTAGGGACTCCTTTCTTCTAATGGGGTTGGCTGCAATGCAGAGCATCTGCAAGTGCTGCCGGGGCAAGAAATTAACTTTACAATATGCATTTTTGTGTATTCTGTTTTAGCTGCATTTGCAAAAGCGGACAGCTTAGGACTGCTTTGTCTTATGACCTTGGTAGGGGCAGCAACATTGATTGCATGTTTTCTGCTTGTTTATTGGGGGCATGCCAGGCCCCATACTAAGTGTACTGTGTGTATTTTAGGCATTTCATCCTCACAGCTCTGAGAAGTAGGTCAAAACTTTTACTGTCCTTTATATACATGGGGAAACTGAGGCACAGAGTAGCTCTCTTGCCAGTCAGTGGTGGATCCAGGATCCAGAGCCCACTCCCTTAACAGCTGTTGCCACCTCCCTCTGCTCAGAGGCCAAGGTTATATAGCCAGACAGCAGCTTACTTAGGTGGAACTGTTATAAGTTCCATGCTGCCCCTTGTGGGTGCACAAAGTTTAAGTGTTTACATTGAGTAAGTCATAGCAGTGGTTCTTATCCTTCAGGACATGTCAGAACTCCCCGGAAGGATTGGGCCCCAGTAGATCTGCCTGTCTGCTCAAGTAGGTCTTGGGTGGGGCCTGAGAATTTGCATTTTTCTCATGTTCCCTGTGATGCTGCTGCTGGTCTGGGGACCACACTTTGAGAAGCACTGAGTTCCAGGGCACATATAACCTTGAGTTTCATTGGCCTTAGGAAGTTGAGTGTGTGGCATTATAATAATATAAGCCACACTGGGTAAATGAAGAAGGCAGGACATTAGAAGAAATGAACAGCTTCAATTTGAAGCAAAAGGATGCCAGAAATTTCTCCTTATCCATTGTTTTACTGTCCTTTAACAAGACATGCTATTAATACGAGGCTCCTGGGGAGGCCTCTGGAAGCCAAGCTGCCCATAGAGCGAGCTCCTTCATGGGCTGATTTCCTAGTGATTCCTGTGATACAGACCCTGTCCCTGTCACACGCAGCTCCTGGGGACAGGGTCTGTTTTCCAGGGTGTGTATATACCTCTCGATTGGGTGCCTCCAGGTTCTGTCAGCGGTAACACACTCTAGGAAAATACGTGTGACTGATGGTGTTGGAACTTAAATAAAATGCCTTGTGGTCCGGTATTCGATAGTGTGTGTTTCTTGTAAGATGTCTCCTGTGCCTGTGTTACCAGCCCGTGACCGTTTTCATCTGTGCTCATCTGTCTTTCTCTTCCCTGGCCGTTTGCCTCCCTCAGCCGCTCCAGGTGGCGGGCAGCGCCGCATGCCCTGCTCCTCCCTCGGCCGCCTCCTTCGCCACCCTGCTGCAGACGGCCTACGAGAGCCAGACGCTCCGGGATGAGCACGTCCAGACGCAGTTGCAGGCCGCCATCCCGCGCCTCCCCATGCACCAGATCCTGCGCGCGGTGAAGCAGGTGCTGCTCTACCTCAGGAGCACTGTGGAGAACTTCAGCCAGGTCAGTGCTGTCCCTCCAGCCCCCAGCGCCCAGGGCCCCACCGCCAGAGGACTCGGCCTGCTCTGAGTCGGGCCCACACTGAGGGACTGTGTGGCAGCCATGCGAGCCCCATTCTCTCCAGGCCTCGGTTGCAAACCCTGCGTGTCCCTCAGCAGCTGCAGCCGGGGAGCCAGGGGCGGCTAAATTGGTCGTCAGGGCAGCGCCTGGTCAGGACAGGGCCCTTCCCACGGCGGACTGGGCCAGTGCTGGCCAGGCCTCCCTCTGTCCTAAGTTTATTAATTCAGTAGTTCATTGTTGAGCGTCTGTCCCTGACGTTCAAAGGTTTTTGGTTTAGGTTTTGAGGTAGGCCTGTCCTTGTCATTTTAGTCGAAACAGACCTTTGCATTTCATCAAGATTTAGGAAGAGAAGTCTCTCATGTGAGAAATGACTTTGAGGTGATGGATGTTGTGCAAAGGCTGCATGTAAAGGAGGTGCCACCTCAGCCTGCCTCCTGAGCCTCCTTTTCTGTGTGGTGGCCGACAGCTCTTCCCTGCTGAGGGTCGTGTGCTCTCCTCCCCACAGCTGGGCCGGAGTGCCGGCCCCCCACTCCTGCAGCTCTTCTTGGATCTCCTCCGGCGCCTGGTTGTCCACTGTGAGCAGCTGGATACCCAGAACCGGCAGGAATTAGAGGCCGCCCAGGCCGAATCCGACCTCTTTTTGGACATGAAGTCCGTGGCCTCGCTGGAGTTGGCCAGTGACCAGGTACCACCTCCCTCTTCCACGGGGCGTCAGTTAGCCTTTTCCCATAAAGCCATGGATAGCGGCTTTCTCTTCACGTCTGATTAAAAGCAAGTACGTGTTCGTTGTAGAAAAATAGGGGAATGCAGAAAACTATGGCAGTGATACTGAAAGCCATTCGTAACCCTCCACTCCAGAGATGAGCATGGCTTAACTTGGCCATTCTGCTTTCCAGCCACTCCTCTGCACACAGTCACCCTCCTGCGGCAGCTTCCTTCACACTGCCAGGTGGGCCCTTCAGGAATTTGGGTGAATATTTTCCTCCCATATAGTTGCGGCCTGTGTTGAATAAAGGATAGGCAGTGGGTACGGCTTTTCACAGGAATGTACAGAGCAAATGTGATGCTCCGAGGAGAGCAGGCCCTTCTCTCCTGTCGTTAGTCTCGTGGAGCAGGCTGTTTAGTTGGGGTCAGGGTGAGTATTTCTCTCTCTGTTTGCCATGTAACTAACCTGTTTACTGGGTTCAGGAGGCAAACATGTTCCTCATTTCACAAGTTACTTGAAATATGTGGCTTTCTTCCTTTGATGTCCAAGTTGACGTGTGTGTGTGTGTGTGTGTGTGTGTGTGTGTGTGTGTGTGTGTTGGTGGGATCACCTATCAGCCAGGCAGACATTCCTAACGAATCTTCCTGTTCTGTCTTTAACTGGCAAAGCCCCGTTGGAAAGTGTAATAGGCTGCTCTTTCCTTCCCTTAAGAATAAGTAAGGAAAGAAAATGTTTTTCGGTCCCCGGGGCTGTGTAGCTTCATTGGCTAGGAATGGTGTTCAGCAGGCTGTGGAGAACAGTTGAAACAGATCACTCTCTAATTCCGCAAAGGATGCTCAGCTGCTTTCGGAGCAGCGCTAAACTCAGTTGGCCGGGTCAGAGCAAATTTCTCAGGGATGAAGTGAGCCCCAGATGTCCTCTTCAGGGGAAACAGGATTACCTTCAGTTGGGGATCGTCAGCATTCCCAGTGGTTTAATCCCAATCCCTATCCCCAGACATATGGTCTCATCTAAGATGTGATCACCCCGCCCCCATTGTCAGGAGACACCCACATCCCCCAACCAGATTTATTTAGGAGGGCAAGGCCGGAAGGAGAAACCAGCAGCTAATTGATCCTAACCACATTTTGGCATTTCTCTATGGCCCATCCCTGCCGTTGAGTGACTGTGGGCGGTGATTTTGCCACATGGTAAATGCATCCAGGCTGGATTCCCCAGGCACGTGCTCGCGACTCTGGGCAGGGCCCTGGCACAACACAGTTCAGCCTTCTGAGTGCACAGGTGCAGAGGGGAGGCAGTTATGTTACGATGGGATGGCAGCTTTGCCTGGCCATGGCTGGAGTGGTAAGAGGGGGACTGGAACTCAGGCTTGAGGGTGGAATGGGGTAGGGAAAGCTGCTTTCTGTGCCATTTTACGTGGCAGCCACTGCCCCCTCCTGACCCCATGCCTGGGTGACGTCCATGCCTCATCACTGCATTTCAGACGCTGGAGGAGGTGCTGGTGGCCATCCTCAGACACCCTACGCTGGAGGGCTGGTTCCTGGCCCTGGAGCAGCAGGCCCTCCCCCCCCACACCCTCAGCCCCATCCTTGTGAAGCTCCTGGCTGCTCACTTCAGTGCAGGGGTCCTTCAGCTGCTGACAGTGAGCGCCCCGATTCTCCAGAACATCAAGCAGCTGGGCCTCTTGGCCAGGTACTCAGAGGCCATCACCCAAAGCGTGTTGAAAGAGCTGCGGAGCAGGAGGGCGGGCCCGGCACCGTCATTGCGGAAGACCCTGCCACAGCTGGAGGCCCTGCGGGAGCTGCACCCGTACATGGAGGGCACCCAGCTCCGAGAAGTCACCCTGGCCCTGCTGAGCCTGCCCGAGACCCACCTGGTGACCCAGCAACCCACAAAGTCGCCCGGGAAAAAGAGACACCTGAGTGCTCTTGGGAAGAGCCTGGTGCAGCTGTTCAGCGGCCCCCAGGATCAGCTGCAGGGCGGCAAGCTCCTGTGGTCCTCCGAGTACGTGAGAGGCCTGGGGGCTCTGCTCCCTGTGCTGGCCATGGGCGAGCTGGACACCGTCCTCCTCCACACTCTGCAGGGAGACCCCATGCTGGCCCCCGCAGTCGGGGTCGACCTGCTGGACTACTGCCTGGCCCGGCGGACACAGGCGGCCCTCGGCATTGCTGCCCTGCTCCTTCAGCACAGCTGTACCCACCTGCTGTGGTTTGAGCGGTGGTGCCTACAGGCTGGCCCGGGGCTTGGCCGGCAGGAGGACCTGGACGACTTCCTCCCCCTCATCCACTCCTACCTCCAGTGCAGGACTCTCAGCCAGTTCACGCGCCCAGCAGGAGGTAAGGGAAAGGCTGATTTCAGGCAGCTGGGAGTTCTGAGTTGGAGGGCTGAGGAGGTGAACTGTATGTCCATTTTTAAACCGTAGAACTTAATGAATGTTCTGGGATGTGGAGTAATTCCATTTCTTCTCTAGCATCTGACCCCGCTGTAGAGCTGGGGGAGGTGGAGAGGTTCTTCTCAGCAGCCCTCTGCCCGCCACCTGGCCTCGTGCCGCCCCTTGGGTCCCGTCAGTGCCAGGCTCCCCGACGGGAGGTTGGGGGAGGGCTGGGCGGTCGGTGGGGATATTTGGGGCTGTTTCTTGTTAAGCCGAAGAAATCCTTCAGGGCTGATCGTCCCTCATCCCATCCCACTTCCCCACCTTCCAAGGAAACATTGGGAAGTTGATGTGAGTCCAGGCAGCAGGTCCAGCTCCTTCTCCATCACTGGGTTTCAGATCTGAGGCACTGTTTGATTACCTGAGGTTGAATTTAATTCCTTTTTTCGAGTGCATGAATGATTTTTTTTTTAACTCACATTGTACCTCTGTTTTACGTAAGTTCCTATCAATAGTGACAGGTGTTCTAAAAAGTTAGACAGACCCCTACAGCCAGGGGTTCTTGACGCGCCTTTCCTTGGGTACCCTCCCTGTCCCCTGCCTTTGAAGAATGAATCCCGTGGAAATCCAGAACTTCGGCACACTTCGGTCTTACTGAGAGCATGGAACCGGGGCTGTGCCCAGGGCCCACTGGCTTACGAGGTGGAGGAGGACCCTGGGAGGAGATGGGTTTATAGTTTGCCAATTTCCACGGTGCCTGAACTCTTGCCAACGTGATCAATTTCAGGCCACCACGGTCACAGGGTACCACCATTTCATGTAATGATCCCTCCCTTGTGTCTCTGCCCTAGTGTGCGCCGCTGTCATTCCTGTCTTGAGGAAGGCCCTGTGGAGACGGCTGCAGAACAGGCTTCTCAGCGCAGATGGTCCCCCAGAGTCCGGGTTGCATGAGGAAGTCCTGGCCCAGCTGGTCCCATTTGCAAGAGCCAAGGATCTCAGTGTTCTCATGGGCCACCTGCCCAGCGTGCTGCACGCTCCGGACAGTCACAAGAGGTATGAAGGCTCGGGTCAGTTGATGGCTGTTCTTTCAGCTTCCCTTTTCTCTTTAGCATTTATAAAATCAGTCAGTGCGAAACTGCTGCGGTACTGCTGTGCACATCAGTGAGCAGGCGGTTCCTATGAGAACTCTTCCTTCCAGCAAGTCATCTCAGCAAGCGGTGGCTGGGTCAGATTCCCCAAGAACAGTGGTTCTCAGCTAGGGGTGCTTTTCCCCTAGGGGACGATTGGCAATGTCCGATGCCTTTTATCGTCATGACTGGGTAAGGGGATATTGCTTCTCGCTTCTAGAGGGTAGAATTTTCTCATCTAAAATGTCAGTAGTACTGAGGTTGAGAAACCCTGATCTAGACAAAGTATGGACACGTATATCCTTTTTCTGATATGCTAACATGTTTTCTTGGTTGTAGAAGTTCTAGTACATCCTTGGCATTTGAGTAGGAGTCTGGGGAAGCCTCTGGTTCTTGTGAGTGGGTCGTGTCGGGAACAGGACTTGGGATATCTGTCCCATATGGTCCTTGTGATGTTGGGTGGTACACGAAGCCAGCGGGATTTAAGCTCTCTCTTGAATTCTGTGGCTCTTTTTTTTTCCAATTTAAATTTATATTTTATTTCCATTGCAGTAGATCAGCTTAAGCATTGGTGACTGATAGACTATAGGAAAAAAAAGTCCTGTATGGTAGATTTGATTTCAAGCGGCCTAAAATGCACTTGAGTTTTCTGAAGACACATTCATGTTACTTTCCATTATTTGAAAAGTCATGCGTTATTTGGTCTCAATTTACAGTCTTGCTCTATTTGTGTAGCTACCTTGGCACTAAACTACGTGCAGAACAGCCTTTAAAACAAATACTGTAGTATCCAAATAGCTGTCTTAGAATAGTCTACAGAAAACATCTGCTGCTACTGGCTATAATCTAGAAAAAACCCTAGCTTTTTGAGTTTTTGCTTTAGGTTTCTCTCTTCTCTTAACTCAGTCGTATAATTTACCCCTCACTGAGGAGAACATATACCGTCATTGAGGTGGTTGTTCATGGTCACGTTCCCATCACATGCTTGTACTTTGGGCACTTGTATCTGTGTACTTGCATAAGAAAAATAACTATTTCTGAGACCTTATGTTATAAAGTCATATTTACAAATAGAAATTCTTCTGAAGGTTAGAATTCAAAATGCTTGAAGCCGCAAAGAGATTTTTAATCAAGTTAAAACAGCTTTGCCATGATAAATTGAGAACAGCAAATGCTTAAGCATCATGCTGATGAGATGAAAGGGGTATAACGTGCCTTTGCATGGCACATGAAAAGCATGCTGAGAGCCAGATTTTTAAAATCAGTAGCTGAGAAGTACTGCACGTAGTTGTCCATGACTCAATTATACTTTTGACATCTAGAATGGTTATATTGCTTTAAATAGTAGTTTTAGGAACTTCCAAGATTTCTGAAGTGCCAAAATTATAAAAAGCTATAAAAAAAAATTAGAGATTCTTAGAGACAAAATAAATCCTCGTAGGGAAAGATACTTAGGTACCAAGGCTTGGGCAGATTAAAATACTTGACATCTTTAAATTCTCTTCCTCTTGCTCAAAAACTGCTAGCCCTAAGATTCACAAAGTTACAGAAAATTTGGTAGAAAATATTAAGATATCACTACGTGATTTTGCAGTAAGAATGAATAAATGATTTACTTTTAAATTGCAGCTATTCTAGAAATGGAAAATATTTCCAGGTAGTTTTAAATTATAATGTTACCCTGTCTACCAGGTAAGCAGAATTAAACAACAGTAGACCCCTCAAAAAAAGAATTAGTTACAAATATAGTCCTTGCAACAATAATATTGGAAACTAGAGATTTTAATTTTTAAAATTTCAGAAGGCCAATTTTGCTCTACCAACACAGCCATGTTAATAGCTTTTTGCCCCAGTTAGGACTCGAAAATGTTTCTAAATACCACTGAGGGAAGATCAATGCATCCCCATCAGCAGAGCTCCCCATGAGCTAGAAAACGTCAACACTATGCATTCTGACCTTGAAGTAAATGCCGATACTGTTTTTCATCATAGATTTTCTAAAATGTGGTTATTTGGCCTTCAACATCCAGAGATCAGAATTTTAGTCTATGTAGCAACCAAATAGATATACTTAATCTTAACACAAGTGTTTTTGTTACTTTTAACCAACTCATTAAATTCAAAACACAGAAAAAAAGAGATGAGGCTAAATTTGAAATTTCTAATAAAACAAAAACTAGTCATATAGCACGTCATGCACTGGGCACTGAGACACAGAAGTATTACCATTAGGTTGCAGAATAAAATTTTCCCATTTTAAAGATCTCGTGCACAGCACACAGCATCCTCATTTAGTGACATGCCAGGACAGAAGTGCAATAACAAGCCACACAAAGAAACAAACAGTATGCACAGATTTTTCACTTGAACCACAGAACTTACCCATTCTCACCATAAATCTTTTGAAGGAGTCTAAGAAACCAGAAAACCAAAAATTAAAAAGTCATTTTTTTCTAGTGTTATTAGTTTCTAAACGTTCAGTGTCTTTAAGAGTCTAACTGGAGATGGACAAAAGGTTGTTTCTTCAAGCACATTCTTGGTCATGTCTCAACTCTGTGACTCTCATCTCCTGCTGCAGGTGGATCGTGGCAGACTGTGTCTCAGCAGCCCTGGCAGGGTCAGCAGAAGAGCTGCGTGCCTGGAGAAGGACCCTTTTGGAGTCCTGTATAAAGTGGCTGACTGTGTCCTTCAGTGGTGGCCAGCAAGATGATGACGATACTCAGGACCAGGAGAAACAAATGCTGCTCAGATTAGATGAGCTGTTGGTAGGTGCCTTTTCTTAGAGATCCCAGTTAGATTTTTAAGGGAGGCTGGGTATGGTGGCTCACGCCTGTAATTCCAGTCCAAGGTAGGAGGATCACTTGAGGCCAGGAGTTGGGGTTTCATTGAGCTATGATGATGCCACTGCATTCTAGCCTGGGCAACAGAGCGAGACCCTGTCTCAAAAAAATAAAAAACAAAAAACATTTAAGTATGCTAGACAAACCAAGCATTAGATACATTGCAAGGCAAGTGGCATGAACGTGGCCCTATAGAAAGTGAGAGGGCCGTGTCTAGGGGCAGAGTGTCAGGTGAGGGTAGCCTTGGAACTAATGAGCCATCCTTTATCAGGGATGGATGTTGGATTTTTGCATCTACTGAGATGTTATATAAGGTCTTGTTTTTTGATTAGTCTATTAATAAAGTGAATTATATTAATTGATTTTTGAATATTAAACCAACTTTGCATTCCTGGGATAAACCTACTTGATCATGATGTAGTATTCTTATTACACATTGTTGGATTTGATTTGTGAATATTTGCATTTGTGTGCATGAGGGATGTTAGTTTTTAATCTTGTTTTCCTGTCTGGTCTTAGAATCAAGTAATGCTGGCCTCATAGAATGAGCTGGGAAGAGTTTCACCAGGTGTAAAATTCTAGGTTGACCTTTTTTTTTTTTTTTCCTTTCAAATATTTTAAAGATGTTGCTTTATTGTCTTCTGGCTTTGTTTCCAATCAAAAATCTGTCATTCTTATCTTTGTTCCTCTGTAGATTATGTCTTTTTTTCCCTCTGGCTAATTTTAGTATTTTTTTAAAAACATGATTTTAAAGCAATTTGGTTAGGATGCACAGTAGTGTAGTTTTCTTCAAGTTTCTTGTGCTTGGGGTTCAGTGAGCTGTTTGGTCTATGGGTTTATGGTTTTCATAAAATTTAGAAATATTTGGCCATTATTTCCTCTATTAAAGTGTCCTTTTTTATAAATATTATATTTTTGCACAGAAATAATTCACATCCTGAAGGTTAATGCAGGTATGTGAGTTATTCCTCACTGCACAGTATAAAATTGCGTCAATAGTCATAGAGTCTATGACTTGTGTTTAAACTCTGAACTCAAGACTTAAAGGAACTAACCTTTTAAGGTTAGTAACCCTGGATAAAGATGAACAAGCATATGGCAAACACATTCATAGGTCTTAGACCAAGCCGTTTGCTTATTTAATTGTTTTGAGAACCTTGATAACCTTGTACTTTCAGACGTTGTGCAGCACAGGTTTGTAAATTTAAGGCACACAGGCACCCAAACTTGTCAGAACTGAGAGAGAGGAAGGAGGTGCTGGAGACCTAGGGCAAACTGAGCTGTTGAGGCGGGAGTGTCGTGCTCTCCAGCTAGTGGCCCACAGGAATGTTCCTGTCTGGCTTCGGGGTCATCCCCTTCACCCGCCTGCAGGCTTGATGATGGAGTGACAGCCTGGGCTCTTTTAGGGGTTTGCCTCCGCCCTTATCCCTCTTTTCTTTTAATTGAGGTATAGTTTACATATTGGGAAATGTATGTAATTCATATACAGGTGTACCCCACATTCCTATCCAAGGAGATTTTCACTCCAGAAAGTTTCTTGTGCCTCATCCCCAAATCCCCTTTCCTCCAGAGCAACCACTCTTTTGCTTTCTGTCACCATTAGATTATTTTGCCTGTTTTAGACCTTGGAAGATTTGGAATCACACAGTAGTATAATCATGCAACATGTACACTTCTGTGCGTACAGCTTATTTCAGTCCAGTGATGCTTTCCCCATTCATCCGTGTTACGGGAATGAGTAGTTTATTACTTTTTGTTGCTGAGTAGTATTCCATTGTATGATGTTCACCCTCCCCAGCCACTCTCACAAAATTTGGAATTACTGGTTTTGTGATTATAAAGCTAACAAGTATACTTATTGCATATATAAGCAATGCAAAAAAATATAAAGAAGAAATTAAAAATCTTCCATCTCATTGAGGCTATCCCATTGTAAATTTGGTGAATATCCTTCCAGAGATCTTGCTATGTATTGTTGCATGTATACTTGATAAAACTATGTGTAATTTTATATATTAGTAGGATCTTATTTAATATTATGCATGCTGTGTGTAGCCTAGTTTTCTGTTTTGTTTCTAGTGTAATAAAATATTTAGCGATGTTTTCCCACACCAGTGAGTGTGGACCTGCCTTGTTAGTGGTGCAGTGGTCGTCCCCTGGGTACATTTATCATAACGTATTTAGGTAGTTGTGTGTCGCGGGGCCTGCGAGTAGGTTCCCGTTTGTTGCTGTGACAAGGAACGCTGTGATGAACGTCGTGCATGTTCCGTCGTCACACACTAGATCGGTTATCTCCTGGTGAGTCCCTGAAAGAGGAGCTGTTGGGGCAAAGAGAACATATATTTAAAAACGTGATGAGTGTGAGGTGTGTCTCAGCTGAGGGGCCCAGGTGCTCCTTGGATTTCCTTTGTAGTCTCTGCACTGTGGTCTCATCTCCACTGCACAGCCAGCTGGTGGAGACAGCAGCCTGAGCACGCATGCCTTCAGTGGGTCTCTGGCACCAACATCGATTCTCTGGTCCCACAGACCTTTTCGTCTCATGTAGCCAGTACCCTTTGACCTGGGGGCTGGGCGAAGGTGTGCCACTAGTGGTTTTCATTTACTGTTTAATAAAAAGCTAATTGTAAATCCATTAGTTCTGTCTGGAATGGTAGGCAAAGGAAAAAATAACAGGACTACTCAGGAAATTTCCTTTTTCCTATTTGGTGACCATAGGTATGCTAATAAAATGTCAGTGTATTTGCAGAAATAACCAGTTTTTTGAAAAGTAAAAAAAAAAGAAAAATGCTCTTGTGGATTGTTCAGATAACTGTGTTTCATATTTACTGAATGGCTCCGACTTTAATTCCATATTCTGCATTTTAGTTTTTGTTTTAAGATTAATCTTGGTTCTGCTCTCTGTCCCTGTATGTTTGAGCTGTCAGGTGCTTATCAAGAATTACACAAAGAGGGGTTATCACTCTGTGATTTTCCCCATGTGTTGATAAATCTGTAGGCCTGTTCTCCAACTAAAAAAAAAAAAAAAAAAAAGAAAAGGGCACAAAGAGGCCTGAGCAGAGGAGCTGCTGGGTGGAATCCTAAGTGTCAGAGCAGGAGGGGACACTGAGCGCCTCTTTCTCAACCTTCTGATCCTGTGTTTTATAGAGGAGGCATCAGACCTGGGGAAGGAGGTGCCTTCCTAAAGGTTCTGCAGCTGGGGCCTTTCAGTGTTTGTTAGACTAATTGAGATATTTCATGCATATTTCTTGTTTACTTTATTTGTAGCATGCACTTAGTGAAGTTGATCCTGCTGATTGGCAGAAATTTGTGAAGACAGGACTCAAGTAAGTTGATTTTATTTTCTCGGTGCCATTTAGTAAAGGCGTGAATGTTGTTGGTCATGCAGAGCCTCTTTTGTAGCTTGCTGTTAGCGTAATGCCTGTGGCAGAGCAAGTGTCCTCCCGTTTTTAGAGATAGAAGATGAGGATTGTTAGAGAAGATAAATGATTTGACTATTGACTCGCAGGGTGCTTCTAATGAGGAGAGAGGCAGCCTTTTTAACAAATAGACTATTTTAAAAATACAGAAATGTGCAAAGAGTAAGAGCAGCCTCCAAATTTAATAAATGCTGACCATTTTCTATGTGTGTCCTGTTTCTTTCTCATCTCTCCTTGCTGAAGGTCATCACTCTGAGAGTGTGCTTTGTCTCATGCATTTGCACTTTGTGTTTTCCTACTCTGTCAGTACGTTTTTAAACAATATCGCTTAGTCTGTTTAACATGTTACATGGGTGTGTGGTTCTTTGTATATCTTTTTTTCACATGAATGTTTCTGATTGATCCATTTTGATGCATGGAGATCTCAGTTGTTCATTTTTACTGCTGTAGAGTATTGGGTCTTCTGACTGTTTTCCAGTTTATTTAGCCAATCCTCTACTAGACATCTAGGCTGTTCCCTAAACTCTCCCCTTCCTCTGCCCCTACCATATTCTCTCGTTACAGTCCTGTAGTGACTGTCACATGTCATGGGGCGGGGTGGCGGGGGGTCTTACAGGCCGCTAGTATGGGTGCACCTTCAGTTCTAGATATTCAAACTGCTCTCCAAAGTTGCTGAGTAGATTTGCACTCCCAGCAGAGTATGTGTGAGAGTTTGTTTTCCCCTGTGTCCTCACTGACACTTGGTATGGTCTGACTCTTTAGTTTTTGGCAATCAAATAGTCAAGAAATGATATTTCATTGTGCCTATAATTTTCATTTTCCTAACCATTCATGAAGTTGGAATGGAAAAAATTATTTCACACAAGGTGAGGGAAAGAGGTGAAGGTAGGTCCCAGATTAGTGGCAACTAGAGGTGACCGTCATGGAACTGCAACATTTCTTTCTGTCTTAGGTTATTGTGTGTTTCTAGAATGCCCACCATATGCTAAATGATTCTTACAGGTATGCATGTAGGACTGAAAAACTCCTTTTTTCTAGAGCATGCTTCTTTCCCTCCTTTGGTGGGTTTTGAAGGAATGTAAGACACAGAAAACTTCTGAACCGTTTGATGGAAGTTCTGAGTAGCTGGAAGTGAGGCAGGAGGGAGGCCCCTGGGGTGAGGTGGGCTGGGGGCGCTGGGTGTCGGCTTTCTCAGCTCTGCAGCTCTGCGGTTCCTATGCCTCCTGGCGTTTCTGTTAAGCAGGAAGTTCATCTGGTGTTGAGTCATAGAGGAAATAAATGCATTGCATCCCTCCCTTGTTTCCAGAAGGGCTCCCTGTGAATGGTGGCCAATGGGATGTGGTGGAGTGAGTGTCGTGCTGTGTCAGTGGTAGGAGCTAGGTGTTGGGTACAAGGACATTCACTGTAAATTTCTCAACTTCGTGCTGTGTTTGAAAATTTTCTTAATAAAATGCTGGGAAAATTTTTTTTATTGTTTCATGTGAAATAAATTCCCCTTTAGTGAAGTTCTTTTCCCTTTGACTCTTGCCTCCCAGGTTTCGGTATCAGGACCACACGTTTTTAAAGACCCTCCATGCTGCCATACAGCTCCTGTACCGCCCAGAAAGCTCCACGAGCATAAAGCTCATCCCACTCCCAGTGGTCCACATGATGCTCACCCAGCATTCTCTGTTTCTGCCGACTCTGCTGAAGTCTGAAGAGGGGGACAACCCAGACAGTCAAGTAAAAGGTGACTCCTCACCCCCACCCTCCAATTTCAGACCCAGATTTTATCTCCTGATTTCATCAGACTAGCTGTGCCCCAAAGCCTGTCTCCCACGGCTCTCAGACTCACCACAACGGTATTAGAGTGTTTTGTTCCTCCCAAATCCAGGGTCAAGAAATGTTTCCTCCAACTTACAGTCAAATAGCACATGCACACCTGTTTCCAAGGCCTTATCTGGCTGACAGAAGTCTGATTGCGCCCTTACTGCTGTATCACGAGCTAGGTTAGAATCTGGGAGTTAGGGGAAGTTAGGAGATGCGGGGAAAAAGTGTGGGTGTCTGACCTGAGAGAAATTGATTAGTTCCATGAAATTTCTTCATGGGAAGATTGAAACTTTTATCAAGGAACAAGACTTAGAACGTGGCTGTTGACAGTTCGCTGCTAGAGAACTCTTCAAAAGCCCGGGGTTAAGCTCCATCCCTGATTCAGCAAGTGTTTGCTTTAGTCCCACAAGTGGGCTTGTGGGAAATGGCAGAGAAGATGGTCCAAAGTTTCCTGCCCTCTCAAAGCCATGCTCTATTTAGAGAGGCAAAATTAACACCCCAAAACTGTTAGAAATCACCACAGGGTTGGTCTATAACCTGATAATTAATGACAGCCATTAGCTAAATTACTGGTGTGAGTGGTAGGAAAAGTAAAAAGGGCTCCACCCTTCTACTCAGACCGAAGCGGAAATAGCAGAGGTTTTGGTGGCATACTCATGGGGGAAAATGCTTGGATTTTAAAACCTTAGGCAGCTTAAAATTTCAGAGAGGAGTGAGCAGGGACTGATAACTCAGCCTGTCAAAGGCCTAAGAACGGGTGATTGTGAAGACATGTTTATATATTTTAAAAATGGAGAAGGGATTAGATGACAGTCCAAACACCAGGATTCAAAGAAGGATATGTCAGGCATTTAAATATTCCCTGTGATGCTTTCTCCTTGACTTTTATTCAGAGTATGTACGTCCCCTGAGATGCTGGGCGTTGGTTTCAGTGTTGATTTCTTCCAGAAGCGCTGGTGGACCTGATGTCAGCGGTGGTGAGGCTGTGCCCCTCCGTCTGTGAGAGCAGCCACTTTGCGGTGCTTCTTGGGGCCTACAGTGCCACTCTCAGCGTCTTGGGTGAGGGCGTGAGGACCAGGCGGGGGTGGGCACAAGGGTCTGGCAGTGTGAGCAGCGGGTGTGAGGACCTGGCGATGTGAGCAGGGGGAGGGTGTGTGGACCAAGTGGTGTATCCTGGGGTGTGTGTACGGGGTTCAGCTTTCTAACCTGACCCTCATTTGACTTGTAGACCAGAAGATTTTACTTCTGCTCCGGGCATATGAGCACAACAAGCTCAGCCTCATCAACTTCAGGTGAGTGTAGGGGCTGGTGGTCCCAAGACTGGCGGCCCCCTCTCCATGCAGTGAGACTTACTTTTGTTCCATTTTGATTCTCAGGGAAAGGGCGGGGTGGGAAGGAACTCCCCTCACTTACACTGGCCCCAGCGTAGGCTGCTCATAGGCTGCTACAGAAAAGCTTGGCCTCACACTGTGAGGACTGTGTCTCTTGGCAGGGGACCACCAGGGTTGGGCTGTCCCTGTCGACTGATGGGTGCCTGTCTGTCATGCATCTGCCCCCAAGCTCACTCCCCACCGGGGCATCTCATCCTGTTTCATTAGTTTTTCTGAAAACCTTTCTCTTCGTGCCTTACTTAGGTGGGATGACTTACGCTTTGGGGATTTCTGGGGGAGTGTGAGGAGGGCTGACTGGATACAAAATCTGTTCTATCCTGTCTGTGTGTGCGCACACACGCGTGCGTGTCCGTGTCTCCTGGGCTCCCTGGCGCTGCTTGGCTGGTGCAGCTTTGGTCCTGAGTGGCTGGCCTGAGCGGCTGGCTACGACGCCTCTCCCTGTGGGCTCTGCCCCACATCTGTGGTTGCCTGGGCTAAGCGGGGACTTGATCAGATGTGCTGTTGACAGAAGGCGTTATTGGATCCTCCATGCTGCTCTAGATCCTTCTTTTCTTCTCGCCTTTTGGGACCGGCACCCTGACATCTGCCCAGTATGTACCTGGAAAGGATGTTGTGTGTTCAGACAGGAGGTGAGCTGACTGGGCCGTGGAAAGTAGTTCAGGAGAGCTCTAGGGAGGAGAAAACTATTGCCATTTCGGAGTGCTTGGTTTAAAGATAAAAGCTGCATTAGTTCAGAAGACACGCCCTCCTGTGTGCTGGCCTGACTCTCTCTCTGCTTGGGAGCTGGTGCTACATCGGCTGTGTCCTTTCTGGAGTAGAACTGTCCCTGCTTATGTGGGGAGAGCAGAGCAAATCGGAGGCAGGTTCTGTCATAGCAAAGAGTCCTTCTGACTATCCATTGCTGCATTAGAACACCCTCTAACTCGGAAAGTCTCATGAGGATGCCCAGTGAATAAACGGGTTAGAGCTGGTTACAAGAAAGTCTAGTTTCAGCTCCCAGCAGAAAAATAGTGAATCAAGGAGGTGGAGCTCATGGGCTGTGTGTCTCAAAGGAACACGGAAGCATTTCCTGAGACTCCAGGTAAATGTCCCCTCCTCAGCTGAAGGAGCAGGCCTGAGCCTGGGGGTCTGTGCCGGAGCTCTGGACGTCCAGAGGTGGCTCCCCTGCCGGTCAGTGGTGGCCGGGCTGATGGGGAGTGCCTAGTGTGTGCGCCGCCTGCCTGCCAGACACCAGGTTGGCAGCCAGCATCCTCTGAAAGGATTTGTTCCTTTTTTAATATTAGTAGCTTTTGTTTACTTGCATAAAAACAAGTATGTATTTAGAAGAATTCTGTTTAGAAGTATTTAATTCAATTGACGTTTGTAGAGCGCCTGGTGTTTTATGAGGCGCTGGGCTCGGCGCTTAGGAAAACTAACAGGAGTAAGACACAGTCTTCCCATCTACCGAGGGTGTGAGACTGTCATAAATTTAATGCTTTTCAAAATGGCAGTTGACTCTCGCCTGCAGTGTAAGCCAGCTGTCACAGGAGCACAAGAGCAAGGTCGTGCCACCTTGGGGTGGTCAGGGGATGCTTCTTGCCAGGGCTGGCGTTTGAAGGTTAGAGAGGGATCCGATTGCGGTGAGGTCATTGGAGGTGCCCGGAGCAGCAGCGGGAGAGGACAGCACTCGTGACGGCTGGGAGGTGGGAGAGTCAGGACATTTCAGAGAATAGGGAGTAGGTCAGCTTATCTGGATCACAGGATTCGTGCAGGGAAGTGGGTGGTGGGAAGGCCAGATGAGTTGGCT